AGAATGGATTTGTGGAACGTACTTATGTTTCGTAGCAATAACAATCGGATCACATCGTGGCTATGTTCGAACGCTGTTATTTCATTTGCATCCACCGAATTTCCGTCATTTGTCCCAAAGAAACGAATATATACTCGCTTTTTATTTTTTGTAAAATCTACAATTCGACCACCCCACGGTGGGTATCCTTTCATTTTCGCCATGACCAAATTGCCTTCTTGAAGAGTTCGACCCGATGACGCAAAATCATTTTTGCACTTTCTCCACGAAGAATTGATTAGGCTATTGAGTTCCTTTCCCGCTGGAATTTCATTTGGTTCGTTCACTTTACGTGAAATATTACACCAAGATGGATCAAGAACCAGCTCCGAGAGATGCTTTTTCAATATTATTTTAAACGTTTGGTTTTCCGAATATTGCTTTTCGATGTCGCGTCCGTTCAATATTTCCATCTGCTTACCACGAATTTTTATGTCCAAATTTTTGGTGACTACTGCAGTTTTTTTCGATTCATTTGTTGACTCTCTTTTTAAATTATTGATACGCGGCTTAAGATTATATCTCTTAGTTTTGGATTCTGTTTTATTTGTTACTTTATTAATTTTCGCCATCTCTCAGTTAAAATGTGTGTCGTTCGATATGGAATATGCAATTTTAGTGAAATCAAAAGACAAACGAGGGTAAGGTTTTAAGAAAAGTAGAGGGTGAGGTGTGGCGTACGCTCTTGTGCTGAGTAGTTGAATAATTTTTGTTTTCATTTAGAAAATTGCCGCCGATTATTTTTCCAAGTGAAATTTTCCACAATTGTCCAAGAACTTTAAATACAAGCATATATTTATTTGGCATATATATTTGTGTGGTTTAATCATTGATTAGATGAGGTTCGGCGTATTCTTTTGTTTATGAAAATGACAACGTCACAAAAAAGTATTGCAGCTATTCTGATAATTGCTCTTTTAAGGAAAAAAAAAAAAAGAGAAAAGAGAAAAAATCGCAGACTTTGGGCACGAAATTGGATTTTACGCCGTGAATCAGAATGTGTAACGCAAAAATTAATTAAAGAGCTACGCTGTGAAGATCCAGATGGATTTAAAGAGATGTTTCGATTAACAGTTACTCAGTTTGATTTGATATTAGAAAAAGTACGACCAATTATAACAAAAAAAGACACAAATATGCGAAAATCCATTCCATGTGAAACAAGATTGATGATAACATTAAAATATTTGGCAACGGGAGACTCATACAGGTCATTAATGCATTTGTTTCGCGTTCCACATAACACAATTTCTGGGATTATTCCGCATACATGCAAAGCAATATATTCGACCCTTAATGCAGAATATTTAAAAGTAATTTTCATTCAAGAAGAATAACAATTTAAATCGATTAAAGTCAAAGCACGACAATAATGACAGCTCGGCAACGCTCTATTAGAGATTAGTACCGCTGGCAACCGCAGAACTATATAGAATCATATGGAGTCATTTGGTGGCGCTGGCAAGCAATTTTGCCTTATCGTCATGCTTTGATTAAAGTCAAACATTTGAATTTTTTTTATTTTATTTTTAAAAAGGTGCCAAATACTAGCAATGAATGGTTGAAAATTGCCGCTGATTACCATTCCAAGTGGAATTTTCCAAACTTTATAGGAGCTCTCGATGGAAAGCACATTATTATGCGCTGTCCAAGAAATTCGAGTTCATTGAACTTCAATTACAAGCACTCATTTAGCATCGTTTTATTAGGACTAGCTGACGCCAATTATAGATTATTGTACATCGATGTTGGTACCAAGGGCCGAATAAGCGACGGTGGAATTTTTAATCGAAGCTCTTTGTATAGCGCAATCGAAAATAATTTGCTTAATATTCCGCCTTCAACCTTACTACCTGGCTCCGATATCAAAACACCTTACACTATAATTGCAGATGATGCGCTTAAAACCTATATCATGAAGCCATACAGTTTTCGTGGCCAAGACATTGGTCAACGTGTATTCAATTATCGTCTGTCGCGGGCAAGACGAATGATTGAGAGTGTTTTTGGTCTTATGTCTACGAAATTTCGAGTATTGCGATCAATAATTGAACTAAGTGAGGCCAATGTTAAAACATGCGTCTTAGCTATATGTGCATTGCATAATTTTTTGGTGGCTTCAAATGAAAATTCATACACTGAATCCATAGCTATACGGCATCAGTGTTAGTTAAAAAGTTGTCACACAGCGACTCCTAGGGGATTGCAGATGTAACATTTCTTTGACTCCTGAAACTCAATGAATGATTTTATTCTGATTTTTCCTGAAATTATTTTCATTGATATTAATGCAAAAAAAATGCTATTGGAATTTTGAAAAAATTTGTAAAAAATAAATATTTTTATTGTGTAATTTAAAATGAACCTAATGTGTTATTAGTATTTCCATTTTAATAATATTTTTCCATTGATGTATGCATTATGTGATATGTATTAGATAAGTACTACTAAGTACTACTCATACTTATGCTTAACAGACTCTAAACTGATTTGACATTTTTTGTTTAACTGTGTTGTTTTGTTTAAAAATGACTGTCGATGACTTATTTGTAAGTATTTAAATTATTTTCAAAGATTTCTAAGTGCAATTTCACTTATTTTTTAATAATATTTTTTTATTCAACCAAATAGGCGAATTGAATTATGTCCAGGATCGCGGAAATTTTTGGTGAGCGTCAAGAAACTTGGTTATTCGGTGGTGAAAATGGAAGATGAATGGGGAACATTACAAACATGCGCGAATTGCCAAGAAAGGTATGATACAATTGAAAATAGAGTCAATTCATTGTTTTAAGTTTTTTCATCAAATTACATAGGACTTTGTCGGATGTTTGGCGTACTAGTGCCTGTTGAGAAGACCACCGAATGCAAACAATGTCAAGCAGCAAACAACTGATAAGCAGCAGCATTGAATTCATCAATTATTAAATAAAACAGCTATAGGTGAGTAAAATTTTTAATTAAAAAAAAGATATTTCATACACAATTTAATTGATACTAATGATTGTCGTTCTTCTTTTCCATGTATTTACACCTGAAATTACACACAAATCCGGGTCTAAATTTGACCGTCAATTTGCATTACAAATTGTTTCTTGAGAATAAATAATAAGAATATTTTGAAAAATAAAAATGCGAGTGAATAGTTTTCATAGAGAATCAAAATAAGTTTTTTTTATTACTTTTAGCTAGACTCAATAAACTTTTAAAAACTTATACGTAATATAAATTCATTCTATTATTTTTCATATCATCATGATTTTATTGACCGGCAAAATGAACTCGTTTCGACAACTTATAGCGAAGGTAATCTTTTTTTGCCTCTTCGTTATAAATATCAGTGACGTACTGCGACTTAAGTTTCATATAAGATTCTACAATCGTGCGAATAAATGCCTCCTTATGAGTCATTTGGTGAGGATCGTGCCATTTATGATTTGCAAATTCTGAACTTGGAAATAGTGAATCCGTTTTCAAGTTCACTAAAATGGTCTTTAAAATCGTAACATATGCATTTATTTGGCCAGCTCTGTTGCCCACGAGTTCTATAATTTTGTTGCATACTTTAACGGTATTCATTGTGCCTTGAGATGGCAAAACATACATACCATGTTGCTGTTGCATATCGATAAATGAGTCGTTGATTACTTCATTTTCTACAAATACATCAATACACTCCTGACATTTTTTTTTACAGCAACGCCTAGTAAATCTGACGATATCGAGTTCAATGGCGCTGGCTAGAAGAGCATTGGAGTGCTGGTCATACTTCGGAAGTTCTTCTCGTAATGTTTCATCGTAATCAAATTCAACCTCCACATCCTTTATTCCTCTTATGTCAATAAAAATAGCAGTATCCTTCTTTCGTGATGATGTTGTCAATACCTGAGTATCATTGTTAATGACGTTTGAATGTTTTGAAGCTATAATTCCATTGCAGATAAGCAACTTTCTGAAAGCACCTGAAAACTGAATCGGTGTCGGATTGTCATTGCAACCTGTGAATTATGAAAATCGAAATAAAAAAATTATAGCTCTTTTTACGATACTAAAAAGGTAACAAAAATGCATGAATTTAAAATATGGGTTAGCATACCATTCAAACGACGGATTGTACCGAAATATGATTCCAAGTGATCTTGCGAGAATTTAAAAGTATACAACTCATCATATGGCCCATTTTCTACATAATCCTTGAAGAGACCCTCGAGTGCAAGTATATTATTGTAGAATCCAAAGAAAGCGGTGCGCAATTTGCTTTCAAAAACGGACTTTGTTACCATAGTTTTGTTCTTTCTTTTCAATTCTTGAATCAAGAGCTTCTTCAAATATAATTTGGCATAGTCAAAATATGCAAAAAATTGGTTTTTTGTTGATGGTGATATAGACCTTTTGAAATGCTGATTAGATTGACCATTAGGCATAGTATTCATAATGTCGAAAAGATTGTTTATCACGCGAATATACTCAATGGTGGCTTCACTTTCTTCAAACCCTTTTTCGCCATCATTTTTCAATTGTTCAAGTGAATTTGCAACACTGTTGCTCATGGTTTCTGCCGCAATACGAACGTTCATGATTTTGTTTTTAAATTTCATATGGGTTTGTCTCAACTTATTGGCATAATTGACAATACTTCGGTTCTGCAATTGATACAGTTTTGAAACGAAATCCCAGCTTATGCGTTTTCCATCATGGTAAAGATCATTCCCAGCAAAACAATTTCGAGCCAATTTTAACATGTGACATGCATCCCAAATTACGTAGATCTTTCTAGTTTTATCATCTGGATCCGAAAAATATGGCTTTTCAGCATCAAAATCGGCTCCAAGTAATTTAGCGCATCCAATATTACCACCATATCCGTCTCCAACAAGTGTCATAACTTTCGCACCTGTTTCATTGATCTTTTTTATAACCTCATGTGTTAGGTTTGCTCGATCTTCTGAGCACAAGCCATTCAATAAGAAGTACGATAAGGCCAATTTGAAGCTGTCTCCAACAACCATAAAAACCAGAACTTGTTTACCTAAAGGTACACAGGTTTCAGAGATTACGGCTTTCTTTTTCTTTGAATTCACATTCGTTGCAAATCCTATGAATTTTTTGTTAATATTGTCCCATTGCAATTTTTGGTTGATAGCCATCTCATCCGTAACCAAACTTATAAATAAGTTCTTTCCCTGTCCATAATATTCTTCCACTTTTTTTCTTAACACGTCAAAATTTTGTGGATTAAATCCTGGTGAACCGTCAATGCTGGAGCACCATTCTATGAGCGTTTCAGCTCTTGGCAAATGATTGTTAAAAAATTTGCGGATATATGAATATGCGGCAGGTGAATGATACCGCACTTCTAGAGAAAATGATCGAACAACTTCGGAATAACTTTTTGATGGTTTCCCCATTGATAAGCAGCGTATTACTTCTTTTGCATTCTAAAATTATGAAATAAAACGTAACATATGAAAAAATACTCTGGCAATTCCATATCGCAAAATAAATGTCAGATTCGTTTTTCTCATGCCCAAAAAGCCCCCAATACGAATTTTCATATTGGTCAAATGGGAAAAATTATTATTTCAAAAATGCACTCGAAAAGGTAATTTTCATATCGATTATTACGGGGAATTCGAATTTATCGGTCAAAACTGTTGGCACCAGTCATAAAAATTAATCTCCCCGAAAAGAAATCAGGGAATGTAAAAATCTGGACGATTTGATATGGAATTATTCATTCATATTCGGATATGAGAACCTATACAGAAATAAAATATTGCTCACTTCACTGAGATTGCTTTCATTGATCAAAACAGCCGGCTGATTATTTTCATTTTTTTTCTTAGCTATGATTCGTTCCAGCTTCTCAATATTCTTTTTGGCCTTCATAAGTTCTATACTGTCATCCAGCAGCTTTTTGTATAACGTTTTTTGAATAGTTATTGTATCCACATAGCTTCTCAGAGATGTATAAAAACATAATTACAAAATTATTCAAGCGTAATATTAGTCGAAAATGTGTAAAAAAAATTTTTTATTTGGGGCATAAAAATTGTAGTGTTTGTAATTACCCATTATCGTCAACATTTCTAGAGATGGGATGAGAGTCTACGAAAACATAACGAAAAACATTTAAATTCACTTCGTGCCAATGAATTCTGTTTCCCATTAAAAATCTAATATATCTTACCTGAACTGTTATTTTCATATGAAGTGCTTTGAAACGTTCTTCGACTTGAATCACTTATCATTTGGTTGTTTTCATTTTGCAATAAACTGAAAAAAATAAATTATTTTATTAAATTAAAAGTCGCAAGCAACATCAGTACTACTTTTAGTATATCATTGTAGATTTATAAAACACTTACGCAATGGACGGAACTGCTTCAGCTTTTAAAGTCCATTTGTTATCCCATTTTAAAATAGCATCAGAATTAAAATGGAGGTCACATAAAACGAACATGAACCTTTTAATTATTTGGCTTGGATTAAATTCAAATCGTTGATGTCTTTGGATTATCTGAATCCATTTTTCAAATCTTTCTTTGTTGGTTGGGTTCCTAATTAAAAGAAGAACAAATATCAAATATGTTTTTCCGACAAATCAAACTTATAAAGAACTTCATCTTACCCAAAGAAATGTCTATTTTCATCTCTTTGCTTTGATTTACAGCCCACAATCACACAAAATGGCATTTAAAAAAAATATTAAACACTCAAAATATTTTTTGTGCAAATTAGAATCGATAGAATTATAGTATTATTTATTGCCCGTTAATTATCAAAATAATCATAAATGTGTTTAATTTGCAAACATCAAGAAAAATAATTACAGTTCTCCTATGAAAAAGTATTCAATTCTGTTCTCTATTTGTGCAAATTAGCATGTGTCATTAGTGCCGCGAGATTTTAACGATAATTGTTTACAAACGCACACATTTTTAGTATTTACACTCCACCACTGGCTTCATACACACACATATACGATATTCAAATCCGATCGCTGCTGTGAAGTAAACAGCAGAGCATCAACGCAGTCGACTTTGCTTGTCATAAGAGTCAGTTGAATTTGCTTGCTTTAAAAATCAGTTGAATTCAAACTTTAAACATGCCTACAACCAGATCACAAAGAAAATTACAAGTTGAAGAATTGCTGAAAAAAAATATTGC